CTTGTCGCGAACATCTGCAACTCGCATTTCCACAAAACTCAATGCCACAACCCAGGCGCGCGGTCACGCAGAAACCCGACCGATCTGACGACGTTGCCGATAATTCCACGGCATAGGTGCAGATTAGATACTTCACAAGCGAATGGTGCTTCTTCAGTATTGCTTCCACGCTGGATCAACAAAAACAACCTCTACAGCTAAAACTAACGCTGTCTTGAGCCTTGGTGCGCCGCCCCGATAAACACAATGTCTAATCAACTGCAACAAGCGTTGGTCGTCGAGGCCATTCTTGGGATAAGAAGGAAACTAAAGCGCAAAGATTATGGTACGAATCTGCCCTTTTTGTCAGCTGCCTCTCGTCTTTTCCTAATTGAACTTCCTCCGCAGATTCCGACTCCGACTCGTCGATCGATCAGAATACGAACCGCGGAAACAAGTTAAAAAAGAGAGCTAGGTTTGTCACGCAAGGCCGGCTTGCATCATCAACAGGCCCTCAATCGTACAAGGAGGTAGCAGAACATGCGGGGTACCAACGAGCCATCATTCAGAGAAACCCGCCATTAATTGACGAAGAAGGCTACGACATTGAAAGCGATGACGACGAAGAACAGATACAGGAAGCCATTGCTTCTGCGTCAACAGAAAACCCCTATTCAGAAATTAGACTTGAACGTATGTTCGCATTTTGAAGAGCTTCCAATACTCCTCGGCTTCCCCCATTTGTCCCCTCCCCCTTAAAGTTCGCATACCCTAACACATGGTAGAAATATTTGCCCCCTTAACGTCAGTTACCGATCTTCCCGGCCATCCGACCTTGTCGCGACCATTTACATCCAAAGCGCTCACCGAATTGGCCGATCAAGCTCGAGTTATTATGCAAAGAGAGAACAAGGCGTTATGGAAGGCTAAGCCGCTGTTGACAAAACTCGTAGGCGACAACACCTGGGCGCCGTGTGGGCTCATGGAAGGACCTGGCGATTCTGACGAGCTGCTGTTTACGGATACTATCAGCTTCTTCAATCGACCCGCTCATCCAGCAGCGGCGGCGGCGGCGAGCGCAACTGTCAACGGAACACAGGGCTTGCTAGCAGCTGGCGGCGTAGGCAAGGGAAAAGAGGTCGAGCGAGCGGGGTCCCGGCTTCAAGATGGTGTTGTAAATGGGGAAGGGAAGAGCGAGCCAAACGGGGATGAGATACCAGCACAGATCAATGGAGCTCCGAAGCCAGACGAGGCAGACAAACCCAATGGGGCAGCCCCTCAAGAAGACGCTGGAGACAAGGCAGACGAGGATGTGGAAATGGCAGATGCAGCAGAACAACAATCAACAGAGCGACTCCCAAGCATAACATACCCAGCAATCCGATTAGAACCCCCGGATGGTCGCAGCAACGGCCGTGCGGAGTCGACTCCTGTGAGCCCATCTTCCCCCGACGCACCACCTTTTATCCACCCGCTCTTCCTTGCCCCACCGGCAGCACGACAAGACAGAAATATGGGAATCCCAGATGGAGAAGCGGATGAGGTACGGCGGCTTCTCCAGGCTTATGTACAAAAGCAGGAGGAAGTATGCAGGGGAGCAAAGCGATTATACGAGCAGTTACTGAGGGCAGATCGATTGCGGAGCAAGGTGTTGATGTGGTCCAAGGCTGAGGCGCATTCGGGACCAAACAGGGACATGTCGGACGGGGAGGACTGGTATGACAAGGAGGAGTGGGGTTTGACGGAAGACCTTAAAAAGGGAGAGGATGAGGTGGAGGAGGATTTGGCGACGACGCAGAAGAAGACGAGGAATCGGAAGTAATTAATCAAAGGCCGGTGTGTATCGTCGTCGTAGGATCTATAAGAGGGCTTCTGTTTGTGTATATTGTCTCATAGGGCTAGATTTAGCGCGGCGTTTGTGTTAATTAAGCCATGTAATCAAATACCCATTCATCCAATTCACGTCACGAGCTATCTTGTGGTGGCTCTTGTCTTCGGAACTTTTGTTTGTCAAAGATCGGTGGAACAAACGTACCGATGGCCGAGCTTTTCCCCACAAATTTTGGGTCTAGGCCACGCGCGCGGAGCATGGGGTCACAATGCTTGTTTGCAGCTGGGTGGGACCAACACGTGGTAATTGATCCAGAATTCCAGATGGATACCGATCCCTGGGAACCTTGTGAGCTCTCATCGATCTGCATATCGGAACCCAAAAGTTTGCTTTCTGGCAAAGTCTGGGTATGTTGAGATTCTGCCGATTTCACATGGAGGTTTCTGGGAGCCTGTCATCTGTTATTTTTGCATGACATCGGATTTTTGGTTCAAGATATGAAAAGCAAGCAAGGAGGCTGTTGAAGGTTTTCTTTTCAGTCACCGTGCCAATTGGAAGTCATCCGATTAGTTGAAGGGAGGGAGGACGTTCGAATTGGTGATGATGATGAAAGGATGAGCCGCTTCGGCTAGCGAAAGGCCCATTTCACCCCAACGCGGAACGGTCTAGACGTCTTTTGGGTATAGCTTGGGTGGTTTGAGTGTGTGGTAAGGGGGACAGGACGCGCGCTGCTGCCGCGAATGCGGTCGCAATGCGAATGCGGCCGGACGCACGCGATGTTGTGGTGAGAGAGGATAAAGGTTTTGCGATAGCCGGGCTGGGAAGTTTCAATTCTTATGTTCCTTTGCATTCCTTTTTGCTGCACAGTTTGTTGAGTGTCGTCATCGGAAAAAAAAAATTAAACCTATCATTCTCGAGAGTTCTTTTCGAGACTTGAAAAGTAATTACATACATACATATACCTACAAGTGCATCTCATCTTCCTATCGCCTACCGCTTGTGGCTACCGCACCGTTCACAGACTCAACTTTAACCGGGCTCTTGAGATTTTTTTTTACGACTACCCAATCCCGCGGAGGGAATCTCGTACTTTTCCACTCCTCGTAGAGATTCCTTCCAGCTCCCTCTCCAACCGAGCGTAAAGATGACCGAGAAAGACATTGCCACCACCCCAGACACCGAGCCGGATCGGGCCCCGGCATCACCACCTCCTGCCACCTCTGCCGACCCCGTCCCCGCGACTCCTGACTCGTCGTCGGACGCAGACGCAGACGTCGTCTACCCCCACGGCCCAAAGCTCTACCTGATCATCGCCTCCCTTTGCCTCTGCGTTTTCCTGGTCGCGCTAGACCAAACCATCATCGCTCCAGCACTGGGTGCCATCACGGGGGAATTCTCTTCGGTCAAAGATATAGGATGGTACGGTGCGGCGTACCTGCTCACCACCACTGCCTTGCAGCCATCTTATGGGTCCCTGTATCGAATGTTCTCGGTTAAATGGGTTTACCTTGCCGCCGTGTTCATTTTCGAAGTTGGGAGTCTGGTGTGTGCTGTCGCCCCAAGCAGTGCTGCTTTCATTGTGGGCCGAGCCATAGCGGGCATGGGCACCGCGGGACTGTTTTCTGGCAGTGTGGTCATTCTATCCTATACTCTGCCGTTGAGGAAACGACCTGCGGCGTTTGGCTTGATCGGCGCCATGTGGGGCATCAGTTCTGTCGCCGGGCCGTTACTCGGCGGTGCGTTTACGGACAAGGTTACCTGGAGGTGGTGTTTTTATATCAATCTGCCGATCGGCGGGGCCGCTATGGTTGCCGTTCTCTTCTTCCTCAAGCTCGATCAGAAGAGGAGAGCCGAGGACGAAGGTCTCAGCGTCTGGGGAAGGATCATGAAGCTGGATTTGCTGGGCACGGCCATGCTGGTGCCTGCTATAGTCTGTCTGCTGTTGGCTTTGCAGTGGGGAGGGACCGAGTATAAGTGGAACAGTGCGACCATCATTGGGCTGTTTGTCGGGTTTGTGCTGATGGCCGGCATCTTTACGGGCATTCAGGTCTGGAAGGGCGACAAGGGGACTCTACCGCCGCGACTGTTCAAGAGCAGGGATGTCTTGTGCGCGTTGTTGTTTGCGTTTTTCTTCGGCGCGGGGTTCTTCCCTTTGGTCTATTACTTGGGTAAGTTTTGTCCAGAAGGGAAAAACTACGGTCTTTTTGGCATTGACTGACACACGTGTCTCAGCCTTGTATTTCCAGGCCATCCAGGGCGATACCGCTGTCGAGGCCGGCATCAAGCTCCTGCCCATGCTGATTTCCGTCACCATTTCTTCGGTTGCCACAGGCGGCTTGATTACCGTGGTGGGCTACTATAACCCCTTTATCTTGGTCTGCATGGTCCTTTTCGCGGTCGGGGCAGGTATGATAACGACGTTTAATCTCACAACACCATTCAGCCAGTGGTTTGGGTACCAGGTTCTTGCCGGTCTCGGAATCGGTGTTGGCTTCCAGACCGGTGTTCTTGTCGTCCAAAATACCATGCCGCTGGAATGGATCCCTGTTGGCACGGCTTGTATTCAATTCTTCCAGTCTATCGGCGGTGCCATCTTCATCGCTGTGGCGCAAGCTGTCTTCCAGAACGGTCTCATCGAAGGGGTCGAGAAGGACACTACTCTTCCGCCCGACTTATTCATCAACATTGGCGCCTCCCAAGTTCGACAGGTTCTCGAGGACCCGAACTCCCCCACATACGCTCCGCAGTTTGTCGAACCGGTCCTGACTGCATACATGCAAGGCCTGCGCAACACCTACTACATCAGCGTGGCTTGCGCGACTGCAGCCTTTTTGGTTGCTCTAGGCTTGTCCTGGAAGAAGATTAAGAAGCAAAACGCTCCTATTGCGGCTAATGATGCTGAGAATGGTGAAGCCAAGCAGCAAAAAGCGGTCGAGGGGAAGGCCGAGGACCAGGCCTTGTGAATGGGGAAGAAAAGGGGTTATTAATTATATACTAATAGAAGGTCATATATACAAATAACGACATGTAACAACAAGGTTTTAATAGGATAGTCAAGAATCACCACTTCAGTGTACGGTGCGTGTTTTTAAGAATAGAGAAAAATCAGAAACTCTCAACTCTTTTAAAAGTTGAAAAAGTCAAAAAAAGTCCAGGTCTATTTTGTAGGAATAGCAGAATGACAAAAATGCACCCGACGTGGGACTCGAACCCACAGCCTTAAGATTACTTGTAAGTAGAAGTCTTACGCGCTACCATTGCGCTAGCCGGGCTGTTTTAGTAATTAGATGTGAGACCTTGTTCGAAAAAGTTCCTATGTACCTAAAGATTTAACCTTTCAAGGATGGAATTTGAGCCAAGATATGCTCAAGTTGGTGATCGGCCATGTCTCAGAGAGCCCAACAGAGCCCATGTCTCTTTAAATTCGGTCACTTGATTCTGTCCTGGTGTCCCTAAACATCGGATAAACCTGAATGTGGTGGGGTAATTAAGCGAAGCCTTCCATCACTGCGGGAGCTTGGGCCACTCCAGGGAACCTGGACTTGGAGTGCAAGCTCGGAGCTCCACATCCCCTGCCACTTCTTGCATCATCGCTTTCGCTCAGCATCATCAACACCGGCACCAATCATCCCACCTTCAGAGCCCTTTCGTAAACATAGCAATTGGACTCCGCCAACACCATCCATAATGTCTTTCCCATACGGTGATGATGGGGATCCAGAATCATCACCATCATCATCATCATTCACCTCATCTGACTACAGCACCGGCGTTCAACCCATCACCTCACCAATCAGAAAAGATGCACCTGCGCCGAGACTCACGCCCGAGCAAAAAGATCACATCCTCAGTCAGCTAACGGTGACGTGGGAATCCCTCCCGCAAGTCCCGTTCTGGGGACCCTTGATCGGCCAAACTGAAAATGTCAAACGCACCGCCGTGGCGGGGGCACTCAACAACCTCGCCGTCCTGCTCCAACGCCCCCTCACGACCGTCGAAGCGAACGCCATCGCTCACCATGTCTGCAAAGCCCGCGCCAAGGAATCTTATGAGCTCCCCGTGGTTCTTGGTTCAGCGGCATATTTCACTTACCGCGGTCGCGAGACGTGGCGGTTCCCATTCTGGACTCCCAAACCCACCAGCCCTTGGTTCTCCCCTCAGGTGTTCCCTTCGATCCAGCGGCCCTTCCTTACTGGTGCTCCGGCTATGAGGCTCTGGACTTTTGGTCGTTTTACCTGCTACCTGGCTGTTCTCCGATTCATTACCCAACCGTTATTCGCCGGCTGGGCTACGGTCGGTTACGGCCTTGATATTCTGAGTGATAAGAGATTAAAGGCCGTGAGTGAGAGGCGCGATCAAGAGATGAAGGCGAACAGGACAGCGAGAGCTGGACTTCCTACTCAGCAGCAAGAGCAGCGTATTCCCACATGGCATGGACAGCCCGTCCAGCAGCAGCAGCAGCAGCAGCAGCAGCAGCAACAACAACAACAACAACAACAACAAACAACTGCTTGGCCCGCACAGCCTGAGGAGCAATCTGACCGTCAGCAGGCACCTTCATGGCGCCCACAGCCGCAACTGCAGCAAAACCAACAACAAGAGACTCGTTCGGCTTTTGATGACGACTCTGGCCTGTTTGATGACGATGCCTCGCCTGTCGCTCCTTCGTATAGGCGATCAGATCCTACCCCCAGTGTTTCTACCTCGTCGGGATCAAGTTGGAGCAGGTTGAGGGAGCAAGCGAAGTCCGGAAGAGGACCAGCGTCAACATCACCATCGCCATCACCTAGATCGGCCTCGGACTCTTATACATACAGCGAGACCGAGCAGGAAAAGAACTATGCCAAGGTTCAAGCACAAAAGGAGTTTGATGCTATGCTGGAGAGGGAAAGGCGGTCAACGTAAATTTTCGGCCATCGGTCTAGTGGGATGAAGCATGTATGATTAAGTCGTTTTGTTTTTGGAGGGTATCCCATTCCATTTCTGTGTTGTCTCTCATAAGCATGTTTGTTTTTGCCTTTTAAAGAGCGGAGAAGAGTTAGGCGGCCTAAAGAAGTCATAATGCTCCAACTCAGTGCGGTTCGGATTGGTGGACAGAAAAACAATTCAGGAAATTCTTGGGAAATTGCCGCCTGGTATTGCCCAGCAAATGTGCTGAGATTGAAAGTGTTTGCACTCCTTAGGCATTTGTTCAGCCAAGCTTTGGCTACCTATGTCTCAATATTTTTTATCTACAGGGCATTGCTTGCTTTTATTTGGTGGGGGCGATTTGTAGATGTGTCCAAAATCACCCGACTGATGACTGGGGTCTTGACAAAGTAATATTCGGCTCGATTAACGATGGCTGGGCTGCTGGATGAACCCAATTAGTTTTTGGATAAGTGACATGAACGAGTATCTTTATTTACCATACTATCAGAGAGCAGGGGCAGGCAGAAGCCAGAAAGAGATGGTCGACCAGCATGTAATAATAGAACAGAACTTCTATAGCTAAGCTCATAAAATATATGTATGCCGAGCATCTTGTTCTGCTCCCCCCTGTTTTTCCTCGATATATCCCAGGTTTCCCGGTCACACCAACCCACCTGTGTGTTGTGTATGATTTTTGAGCGTTGGGGGGGAAAAAAGCCGATTTGTATTATTCCTCGTCAATTGATTCTATAAAGAAAGGGGGGGGGAGGAAAGAAAAAAGAAGAAGAAGAAGAAGAAGAAGAAGAAGAAGAAGAAGAAGAAGACAAGGTCAAGAACAGATCAGTAAAGTAACTTATACAAGAATAGAAAAACAAACCAATCTCCATCCCCCCCCCCCCCAAAAAAAAAAAAGAATACCCCTACTGCAAGTCAATCACCCCCAATTATGTCTTCCCTGAGCACCGCCACTACCTTCGTGCAAATTCGACAGCAGCGTCGCCATGACGCCCGTGTAAGCAAACAGCAACAAGAACTTGTGATCGGTATTCACGTTGGCGCCCCCGTTCCTCCCGCCAAAGCAAAACGACCCGACGCAGAAGGTCAAGCAAAACACCACGGTCAGAACCACGGCGCCCGGAGTGCTCAGGTTGAGCAGGTACATCAGCAGCAGCGGCATGATCAGGAAGGCTATCGCAAGGGAAATGACCAGGAGGTGCGAAAAAAAGTGAAAGGTCGAGTAGTTGACTACTGTGAACTCGACTGCTGCTTTGAGGTGGCCTTCCTTGGGGTTATGGGGTTGATGATGGCGATGGCTGCCACGGGCCCCGCGGTTCAGAAGAAGAAGAAGAAGGAGATGAAAAATCGGGAGGATGGTTGAGAGGATGGACCGGACACGGCAGTACGCGCGGTTAGACGCGAGGAACATGTCGTGAATCAGTCCCTCGATCACGCTCTGGGGTTTGCCGATCACGCGGTAATTCTCTGCTTCGCATTCGTCGTCTATGGGGTCGTGAGCGACACGGGTGTAGGCCCACTGTCGGAACTCGTTGACGTAGCGGACGTGGGGGGCCGGCTGTTGGAATATTATATTCCCTTGGGAGAAGAAGTCACCTGGAAAAAAAAAGGGAAGAGAAGAGAAAGAGAAGAGAAAGGCTTAGCAAAGACAGAAAAGGGTATGGATGGATGGGGTTGGGCGAGGGGGGGGGGGGACACAAGTTGTGGCGACATACGATACTTTTCAAGCTCCATAGTAAGCTGGTTCATCAATTTTTCTCTCTCCCTGCCGTACTCGTTGTCCGGAAGATGATGTTTGTAGTCTTCGCGACCCAGCTCTTTGTTCCGGCGTTCCAACTCTTCGATGGCCTCTCTGGTCCTGCGTGCCCTGTAGCACCAGTACTCCATCACTAGACAGAACTCGACCTCGCAGGCCGGGAAGAACAGCCACTCGCGCGAGAGCTGCTTACGTCTTGCGCAGCCGGCTTGGCCAGAAGCTGTGTCTGAATGGTAGCTTATGAGCATTCAAGTTGTAATGCAAGCTGTGTGTGGCTACAAGTCAATGGACTTACTGATGTCTTCCATATTTCCTGTTGCTGCTTCCCTTTCTTCTTGAAAAGGTACCTCTGTGTGGGCTTGGGAGGTACCGGTCGGCGTTTTGCTACCTATTTCAAGGGACAAGTGTTAAAGAGAGCCAAGAGCGATGGTCGAATCTCTCCCAAGGTCGAAAAGTCACTCACTCCGAGTCGTAGGCCCCATCCCCGATTCAGGCTCTTCCACCTGTCCACGCTCAGCAAGATCAATCTCATCAATTGAGATGCCGGCCATCGTCGCTTGCATCCTTGGTAGATGTCTGCAGGATGAGGAAACGAAAGGAAAATCTTAGGCTCCCCCGTCCTGATATATATATAACTGGGGCTCAGTGGGAAGGCTTCCAAGCCTTGTTAGGCTCTTCGCCTTTGAAAGAAATGCAGAATGCATACACAGCCTACACTTCTTTTGCCCGATCTATCGCGTATTTCTGCATGTCAGACATTTGTGTGTGTCCCGGCACTATCATCAATTGGGTCGATGAATGCAAGTGATTGAAAGTGTATATGATCTACCGACAAAACAGGGCAAGGCTGTGGGAAAGGTGTGGTAGGAAGTGGTGGGCAAGCCACGAATCAAAACTGACCAGCCAAGTAACTACTGCTGCAGCAGAGCCTGATTTTTGTCGAGGTGCATGCATATTTAAACCAAGAGGCTGCCCCTTCCCAATGTTTACATTTGTGGGTTGGCCCCTTTTCTTCTTTGCCGTTGCGAGGTCACTTCCAATCTCCGCGCCACCAATCACCGTCCATAGCACTCTCTGAGAAACCCGACCGAGAAAGAATAACCACGAAAGTGGAAAGAAAACAACGCCTTCCATCACCAGACATATTATAATACAAGACATCGACGCCGAAGATGATTACTGTCTTGGTGGCCAACTAAATTTGGCATCTAACGACCCTTCCGTTCCAGCATTCCCTCAGAACCTCAGAGGGGTGTCGATAAGCTGAACTTTTAGGGGCTGCCTTGAGTTTGCGATCAAGTAATGATAAACTGGCGGCGATGGGTTTCAAACTTGTGGTGCCGGTGTAGGATGGCCAATGTTGTTTACGTCAACGCTGTTGCAGGTGTCGGGTCTTCGGTATCGGCAGCACCATGGAAGGCGATAGCGACAAGGCGACGGCGGATAAACCAGGCGTTACAAAGATGAGAGTTGTTGTGTGGTATGAACTTGGAAGCATCTCCTTGAGTTTAGCCACTGACATTTTTCGGAACCGGATGTCCGCCGGCCGTCTGGTATTTAGAAACCATCTTCGGTCCAGGCTGGCTCGAT